TTAAACTTTATATTCCCAAATGAAGTAGTGGTGTAGGAGTGCTTAGCAAATCTATGCGGTAACAAAATGGTGAGGTTTTTTTCAATATAGCCATATTTAGTCACTTGATTAAAAGCATTTAATTTTTGTGCCCAGCTCTGTTGCTGGTTTCATAAAATAAACACATGCAAAATGTTTCAAAGCAGTAAAGTCATTTGGAAGTCAAATTATATGCATATTTTTAGGAGTAGAAGAGTTAGAGAAATTGAGGAAGGGGGAGTTAATCAAGAAGGACTTCTTAGAGAAGGTAAGTTAAACTAAATATCCAAGCAAGTAACAGACATAGATTGGCAGAGAGCTTCAAACAGGGTAAGAAGTCAAGGTTGAAAATATGTGTTTAAGAATCCTATGTTCAACATCTAGTCACTAAAGCCATTAAAGATGAGCACACTCCAAGGAAATTAATATAGAACACCAAGTGTTGGAGCTTAAAGTATGTCTGTAGATGGAGAGGAAAACAGAGTGGTTAAATAGAAGGAAAACCATAAATGCAGTTCCACAGAATTCAACTTAATGCAGCAAATATTTATTAAATGCCTACTATGTGCCAGATGCTGTGCTGGGTGATAGAGATAGAATTCTTGTACTGAGGGAGTTTAAATTCTACTAAAGGGAGAAATTTTTGCAGAAAAGTAAGTCTTGCCAATGTCAAATAATTCTGGGAGGGTAGGGAATATAAAAACTAAGAAAATTCCATTGGGTTTCAGCAGATTACTAGTGGCCAAAGAAAGTTTCAGTGAAAGGTTAAAGATAAAAGCCAAATTTTAGATTAAAAGGAGGTACAGGGTGGGGGATGGTCATGAGGAAATGGAGGCAGCCAAAGTAAGCCACATTTTTAATAGTTAGTCATAAAAATAAAATAAATAGTAAAGTATTTAGATGGTATGACTGGTCTAACAAAGAGCAAGAGATTAAATTTGGGGATTCATCTACAGCTTGGGGTTTAACAGATGCATGGAGAATTTTCTGCCCTGAAGAGAGTATACAATGTTTGGCGGGGCGGGGGGGGGGGGTGTTCCAATTCACTTAATAGCTGTGGTACACATAGTACAAGTTGGTTTCTGTACTAAAAGAAGAGGTAAAAGGAATACACCAGATTGTCAGGGAAAAATGAAGTGTTTCTTGAAAGAATAGAAAAATATCCTCTTTCTGTGTACCTCAGGTATTCTCTTATTCCTCATAATTCCACAAAATCATGAAAATCAAGGGATTAAAACCTCCAAGTCCACCCTTTGAAACTGTCCAAACTATCAAGGGCATGCATATCCAAAAGAATACCAACTATATGAAAGAGGTCACATAAAAGAACAGTATGTTCTTTTCTATAAAAAAGTAATAGATTTGTCAGGTATGCCCAAACTAAAGAGTGGGGCTGGACACAGAGCTGTTAACCCACAAAAATTGTTTCATTTTTGCTGTACAGGCTTAAAACTTCATTGAGTAATCCGAAAGTTTTAGATGTAGATTGTCTTGTCATTGAGCACATCCAGATCAACAGGTCACCAAAATGCATAAGCATACTTAGAGAGCTTATGACTGAATCAACCCATATGTAAGTTTCCTTGCCATATTGAGATGCTTCTTACTGGGTTGGAAAAATCACTCCTAAGCCAGAAGAGGAGACTGCTAAAAAGAAGAGGATATCCCAAAAGCAATTGAAGAAACAAAAACTTATCGCATGTGAATAAACATAACATTAACATGCAAAAAAAATGAAATTAAGACCAAAAAAAAATAGAAGAGATACTTTTAAAAAGTATCTGATGAGGCATGGGAGAATTCTAATTTATGTTAGATAATGTCTAAGGGTAGGTGATTATAACAATCATAAGAAAGAAAAGGACTCCAGAACATTTGGAGCTAAGTAATAGATGAGGCTGTCTTCATAGAAGAAATTCAGCAGTAAGATTCATAGCTTCAGAAGTGTGTATGCAAATGCATAAAGCAGAGGCACTAGGTAGAGGTCCAAATGCAAGGAAACATTTTTTTCCTAAGTAAATTCTCAGTTTGAGGAATCAGACTTATGAATGGAATGTGGCTCTTGAAGATTATGACTTACTCAAAAGTAGTATAATAAAGGGAGCAGTGCAGTAACCTATAGTATAAGAAGATATACTGTATACTACAAACGTATACTCAAATAGGTAAATACAAAACATAGACAAAATAAATCCAAAGTAATTAGGAGGGAAGGCTTTTGAATTTGACCAACAAAGAAGAACTGGTGGGAAAATTTTGAGGCTTGTGACAAATCTTAGAATTTGTGATAATGAAAAGGAAATTGACCATAGTCTGACCTGCACCCAAGATTTCAAGTAGTGTAGAAAAAATATACAGGTAATATCACATGGCTCCAAATTCTACAAGGGAAATCAGCCCAGAAGGGATAGGAAGCTCTCAAGAATAAAATTCTAAAGACTGAAAAAAACCACAATCCTAATGAAAAACAGGTGAAACTGTGGCTACACCAGGAATTCATCAACCAGCTCAGACTTGAAGAAGCTGTGTATAGAAGATGGAAGGGCAGGTAACTGAGGGTGAATACAAAAAGAGTGACATGGTCCTTTAAAAAGGATCAGGTGTTAAAGTTAATAATAAGTTGAGACTAGTAATGAATGATATAGGGCTTTTGTTTTCTAGCTATGTTGGAAAAGGAGAAAAACCGAGAACTGGATAGGACCACTGTTCATTGCAGCTGTGGCTATGACAGAGAGTGACAAAAGATGACAATGAGAAGGCAAAACTTTTAAATTTTTGCTTCTGTTTTCTCTTTCAAGGAGAATGATCTTTAGTATGGTAGAGACTAGGACAAAATATATAATAAAAAGTTGAAATCCCAGATAGATGAAATATTAAGTGAGGACCTAGCTTTCCTCAATGATTTCAAATCAAAAGGCTTGAACTACATCCCAGGGTATTAGAATTGGTAAGGTGTGATTGCTGAGTCACTGTTAGGGATCAGGAAAGATTGTGGAAAACTGAGAATGTACCTCAGGACTAAAGAAGGACAAGTGTACTGATTTTTTTTAAGGGTGGGGGGAGTAGTGGATGCTAAATTAAACTGTTGGCATCAATTCCTGGCAAAATTTTGAAACATTATAATGGGCAGATTGGAATAGGGAAAGACAGGACAGAAAGCCTGGGTAGAAGGCTCCTTACAGTAGTCCACATTTGAGGTAATGGAGGTCTGACCTAGGGTAGGTGAAGTAAGAAGAAAGGGAAATATAAGAAAGATTTCTGAAGTAAAATCAACAGGACTTAGCAACTGATTGGCTATAAAGGATGAAGAAGGGGGTATTATTGAAAGATCACTCCAAGGTGATGAGCCTGAGGGAATGAGAAGATGGATGTGCTATCAACAGATATAGAGATGTTGAGGGGAGGGGAAATTTTTGAGGGCAGTGGGATTAATCCAGCTTTGTATGTGTTGAGTTTTAGGTGCTGATATGACATCCGAAGGGGATAAGTAGCAGTTAGAAATATGAAACACATAAATGTGAGACACATGAAGAAATTTGCATGTTGGAAATATGGGACCTGAAGCTCTGAAGAGAAGTAGTGTTATAAATTTAAAAAACATGCCTAGAAGTGATAATTCAAGATTTGGATGGCATTATTAAAAGAGAGAATATAGATATAAGTGAATCCATGTGGGTGTCCCCCATGTTTTTTCCTGGGCCCCATTCTCTTTTCCCTCTTTATCATTTCACTTAGTAATTTCATCAGCTTGCATGGTTTCAGTTATCATGTTATGCAGGTGACTCTTAGATGTACTTGTCGAGCCCTAACCTTTCTTCCAATCTCCAGTCTCAAATCTCCAAATGCCTATTAGAAATTTCAAACTGGATGACCCATAAACAACTTAAACACCCACCAAGTCCAGAATTTAACTCATCATTCCCCTAAAAACCTTCCCTCCCTTCCAGACTTTCCTATTACTGTCACAGGCACCACCATTCTCCTAGTCACCTAGACTCAAAACAGGGTCCCATTCTTGACTCCTTTCATTTACTCACCAGCCCCCCCAATCCAATCATTTGTCAAGTCATGTCATTTCTACCTTCATAATATATGTTGTGTGCATATGTCTAGTATGTTCTTCTTTTCTCAGACACTGATACCACCTTTTTGCAAGCCCTCATCACCTCATGCCTGAACTATTACAAGAGCCTGATAGTTGGTCTGCCTGCCACAAGTCTTTCCCAACTCTGATCCATCATCCACTCAGCTTTCAAAGGAACCTTCTATAAAGTTCAGTTCTAACCATGACTCTCACACACACACACACACACACACACACACACACACACCCCCTTTCCAAGGGCTCCCTGTCACCTCCAAGATCAAGTATAAAATATTCTGTTTGGTGTTCAAAGCTCCTCATAACCTGTCCCCTACTGCTTTTCCAGTCTTCCTACACCTTAACCTTTTTCTGCCACTCTATGATATTGGCCTTCTTCCTGTTTCTAAAATAAGGTGCTCTTTCTACTCACTTAGTATTTTCTCTGGCTACCCCTATACTTGGAATGCTTTCCCTCCTAATCTCCACCTCCTAGCTTCCCTGAGTTTCTTCAAAACACACTGCTATGAGCCTTTTCCAGTTCATATTAAAAGGATAATAGACAGTACTGCTTAGTGCCTTCCCACTGAGACTGCCCCCAATTTATCCTGTATATATCTTTTTTGTACATAGTTGTTTATTTGAATGTCATCTCCTTGATTAGACTGAGCTCACTGAGAGCAGGAACTGAGTTTTGCCTTTGTATCCCTAGCACTTAGCACAGTGCCTGGCATATAGATGCTTAATCAATGCAAGTTGACTACTAAATTATAATTTGTCTTTTGCACTATTTTCTACTCCAAACTGATGTCTTAGTGTTCTACTTTTCCTCTTTACACTCAGAGAAACCTGAAACAATGCAGTTCACAAAAAGATAACTTTAATTCATTTTCATTTATAGGTCTGCATTACATTCACTGAATTCGGAAAAATGCAGGATGTTTGTAACCTTCTTGTTGAAAAGCTAGATAGTTCTGTTATCATCAGTCCTCCTCAGTTTTACCATACACCAGAAGCTATTGAGAATCTTAGGTAAGTTAAGCAAATTGTTAAAAAAAAAAATTCTGTTATATGGCTTGTTAATTGTCATTAATATTATTGTGTTTTTTATTCCCAAGACGCCAAGTCTTTCTCTGTGCTGTTGGGAATGCATGGCGAAAAGCTCAAGAAGTTTGTCAGCTTGTTGGTCAGTCACTTGGAAAACCTCTATTAATCAAAGAAGAGGAAACGAAAGAATGGGAAGGTCAAATAGACAATCAGCAGTTATCTGACCTAGCAGGTTCACTAAGTATACAACAGAAAATCCAAAGTGCAACAATATATGCTTCTTCCAGGGTATTTTTAAACTTTGAAGTTAACAAAAAGGAAAAGAAAAAAAAGACTTAAAATTCTTTATAACCAAAATTTTTTTGTCTTTGTATCTTTGTATCTAATTGCCTAAAACCATGGTTAAATTTGTATAATTTTTATAGTTTCTTTATACTAAGATTAATATTTTATGTAGAATGCCAAATTTTATCTGTCAGCTAAAAAAATGTACCCCACAGCATACTTAAACTCTTTGTATTCTTCATTTTCAGTTTCATTCCCATGTTCCCCACATTCTTCTTTCATTGTAATGTCATTCTTTTTACATTTTTCTTTTTTGTGACCATGCGAACAGAATTTGCATTATTAGGTATGTTTTCTCTTTTCTGGAATTTTAAAAAAAAAACTTTTAGACTTTGGTTTTCATGGATATGTTTATAGAGTGCTTTCTATTCAATTTTTACTGGTTTGTTTTAGTCTTATACCATGTTCAGTAGATGCATTAAATATTAATTTTAGTGCAGTATTATCATAAATTAATCTGCTTCACTTCATCACATGACTACAGTTTTACATTTAAATGTGGTTTCAGCTTCTGCACTACAATCCAAAACTGCCAAAACTAAATACTTTATCAAATATTAAATGAACTTAAAAAAAACTGGATTTCAGTTAAAAACCAAGTAACTTTATTTTGTAAAAGTAATTTATTGATGAAATTTGTAAAACTGAAAATGTGGAACACCAGCATGCACTATTGGGCCTTAAGTTTCAAGTTAAAGGGATACACAGTACTGCTTCAGGGAGCTTATAGTTTTTTTTAAATGTCAACCAAAGTTAAGCTAATAGAGCAACTACAAAAGTGAGTAGAAGGTAAGGTTGGAGTCAAGCTTGAAGAATAGAGTAAGTGAGCATTTACCTGGAAGAGGTACATCCTTAGCTTTAGTTGTAGGGAGAGAATGATGCATTATGGTAGGCAAATGATCATTACAAAAATAGATTTTTTAAGTTTTTTTCAGCATTTGGGGGATGATACTACATTAGGGAAACTTTAAAACAGTCTTGAGCAGACTGAAGGAAGAGCTGGGATGGAATAAGAGAAGAGAACAAAAAACAAAATAAGACTATTTGAAGTTTGTATTTTATATAAATGACTGATAAGTAGTGATTTTAGCTCTAAAATGCAGTAAATATATTTGAAGGAGAAAGGAAAAAAGTTTATTGTAAGTTCTTTTAGAGTAAAGACAATACCTTATTCTCGAATCTCCTCAGCACTTTATATAGTGTTTTGCAGAACCATAACTGGTAGTAGAATTTTGGCCTGTCATGGCACTAACAGCTGTGGGTCCATACTCCACGAGGGGTACAAAGCTCCATCCTTTTACCAGGATCTAAGAGAGTTAGAAACAAGGATTTCCTCCGGCCACTTTGGTTTTAACACTCTGGGCACTTCCCTTTCAAGACAAAGTCACATATGTGAGTTATATGCCTGCACACAGGGAAGGCAATGGAGGACTGGAAAATTATATACTTGTCTCACTCTCTATCCACAGATTCCAACTGGCTTGAGCAGACTATAAATCTCCCTACCCTCCAGTTCTTTCCTAGAGGTGTATCAAGATTTTTCTTGTTTAAAATGCACTAGACATTCATGAACCATAAAAATCCAATTAAAATCATTTTAATATTTAAAGTTTAAAAAACACAAAATACAAGAATGAAAAAGGATAAAATAAAACTCCCATTCCAAAATCTGTAATTGAAGAAAACATTCTGCCAGCAGCTCAAGCTCCAGGAAACATTTCTTAAACCTTTCTCCCACCAAACCACAAGGCCTGCAAAGAATCAGGTAAAGGTAAACCAAGGCAGAGTTATATGCTATGGCTACACCAGTGACAAGAGCCCCAGAAGCCATCCCAAACTCCCACTAAATCCCACCTGCCATGGTAACAAAGTTCCAATAATTTTCTGGGGGACCTTTAATCACCATTAAAATAATGTCACAGCAACTCTAAAAACTAGAGACCAAGCTTAAATTTTTTTAAATACATAAAACAACATAAACAATCTTTTTTTAAAAACAGGAAGATAATGTCAGGAACAATTCATTAAAGTCTTTCAGGATAAAATAATCATGATGGCCAGGAACAGCACCAAGAACATTAGGTCCATTGAATAGGTGATATATCCAACATTATTACTGGTCCCCATCACAGAAATGTTCCATCTGAGTTAAGATAGCTAAAAAATTACAAGTCTTTTACATGTAGCCTGTGCTAGGCTAAGTGATATCTAGGATATCTTAGATGTCTAAGTTAATGTTAGGACTCACCCCTAACTACAATGTTCCCAGGCTTACCACCTAAAACCTACCCCTCTCTAACAGCACCAAATTTTGACCCATTTAAAAACATCTCCTCATACCATCTTCCTCCATGTACATTGGATGAAGACTTCCCCTCAGTTTCATCCAAGGTCTTAAAAATAACAACTAAATAAGCCAAAGGATTCCTTTTTGTCCAAGTTAACTTCAGGTTATCATAGTTATAAAAAATAATAATGATGACAACAACAAATTTACATTTCTATGATTAACAAGCAAAGCCCCTCTCACTAATGGCAGATTTTTTCTGAGGAGCTGTCCAAACCATTCAGGGAAGGGAAACTTGCCAATTATAGGGAATCTACACCATATTCTGAAGTTTTCACCAGTCCTTTTGAGGGTGCAAAAACCTTGAGACCTGGGTGACCATGAACAGATGATGGAATAAGGAAGTGCTGGAGAGTATTAATTGGAACTGTATCCAAGAGTAGTCCATTCTGATCAGTCAAATCTTGAAGGGTAGATCCAAGAAACTTATGGAATAAAGAATGCTTCCCCCTTATTAGACTTGCCTCAATGTGTCAGACAAAAAGATTGAACACCCAATCCTGATAATCAGAGGTGTGATGAAAATTTGTTGCTTTAAGAGACCATTCCACTGCTCCATGATACCAGCTGCCTAGGGCTGGTGTGGAAAATGGAAAACCCAGTAATTATGACAACAAGCTCAATCCTAAATTTTGTGGTAAAATGGGTACCCTGGTGAGAAGCAATAGTCACACTCATAGGTATAAGCCAGGCCACATTCAGGCATGTATCAACTCTGCCTGCATTAATGGCTAAGCTCATATTTCTACTAGCTTCTCCCTTTTCTGAAGAATCCAAGCCCTTGCCTGGGGCTGAGCCTCCCCCACCACCAGCATGGGAAGATGGATACTAAAGGCATGCCTGTATGCTAAGAATGGTGGTGGTGGTAGTGGTGGTGGTGGTGGTGGTAGAGAGGAAAAGCAAGTGATTGGAGAGGTACTTTGGACTTCTCAAACATACATCTGCCATCATGAATAGGTTTTGTATTGCCTAAATAGCACCCAGTTTGCAAATATAGTGTGTATCTCCTATATCTCTCCTTGTCACAGCCACACACCTAACAGAAGCTTTCCATACTCTGAATCTGGCATAAGACCTGACTGATGACTAAAGCTCTCTCTAAGGTTATTTAGGATCTCTTGCTAAATCCAAAAGCCTTTTCTCAGGCTTCATTCTGAAACTCAGCAGTTTTTGATACTACTGACCATCCCCTCTTCTGAGTGTTCTTTCCTCCCTTTTAAGTCTCAGCTCATGTACTACCTTCTATAGAAAGCCTTTCCTATTTTCCCCTCTCTCTCCTTCAGATTATCAGAAGTATTATGAATATGCTTATTTCTTTGTATGTTATATCCTCTTCCTCCTTCTAACAGTGTACACACTTTGAGACTAGGACTGTGTACCTAGTATAGTGCCTTGAACATATAGTTAGTTGTTAACTAAATAAATGCTTGTTGAATTGGAAACTACCAGATGAGCTATAGGTGTGAGCTCTTCCCAACCTTCCTCCCACCATTGTTTTAGGGTTTCTGTCTCTCCCTCTCCACTTTCTATTCCAAACTGAGAGCATATTTTCTGCCTTTTGCCCTCGCTGCAAAAATATCTAGTTATAATGCTTTGCACATAGTAAATACTTAATAAGCATGCACATTTCATCATTTTCCTTTCTTCTTTGGAAAACATAGAATTTAGAGCTAGGAAGGAATGTAGAGATCACAGAAATCACAAAAATTGAGAGTTGGAAACGGGTGTGCTTGTGCCCCTGGAGTCAGCTAGAAACTGGCTCATGAGAGCCAATTGTAAAATTTTCAAAGTGAGCATTTATTTCTTGGAAATCAGCAAATGCTACAAATCAGGGCTTAATTTTTTGTTTTGTTTATTGTTTAGACTCAAGAAAGTGATGGAGAAAATGTTAATAATGTGTATTAAACTTAAAAGTGTGTCACTCATCCTTTTTTTTTCATATAGCCAGATGTTAAACATTTATCAGCACATTCCTGGTTGGAAGGCCCCTTTAGCCCAATTCATACCCAAAAAGAATACTTGACAAGCAGTCATTCAGCCACTATTTGAAGACTTCCAGAAAGGGATAACCCAACACCCTTTGAAGTAATCAGTTCCCCCTTTTGAACAGCTCTAATTGTTAGGAAATTTTTCCTAACATCAAGTCTAAATTTGTCACTATGCAAATTCCATCCATTGCTCCTAGTTTTGCTCTCTGGCAAGAACAAATCTAATCTCCACATGACAGCCCTTCAAATACTGTTGTGCCCTAGCGCCATGTCTTTTTCTCTCAGTAAACAGTCCCTTTTCTTTCCAATGATTGTCATTTAACATGTACTCAAGTCCCTCCTGCATCCTAAATGTCCTCTTCCAAAACCATTCTCCATCCTTAATTCATCACTTCTTTATGCCTATCCATCGCAATCCCAGCCCCACCCCCAAGTTTCCACTCCAAATCTACCTGTCCCTTCCACTATGCCCTCTGAAATACCTTCCCCATAATTAACACATTGCTGTTCATCATAAACCTTCCTTCCTCATTCTTCCATCTTCCCTCCCTCAAAGAAACATGGCTTCCTCCCAACAATACTGCTTCCTTTGATACCCAGAGTACTGACTATAATTTGTCTAAGCCACCCTAACTTGTTCTTTTGGGGAGAGTCCATATACTTTTTGCTTCCCATTGCCACTTCCAGATCCACTTCAGTCTCCTTTAAGGTTCACACTGTCCAAATTTATCACCCAACTCAGATCCTGATGGCTGTCATCCTATAGACCACCAAGGTATTCTTTCTTTCTCAATAAATTCAATGCCTAACTCACAGTCTTTCTTTCCAACTCAGCTCCTGCCCTTATGCCAGGAAATTTCATTACACATATTAAGATTCTCTCAAATGCCCTAACTTCCTACTTTAATCTACTCAATTGCCAAGATATTTCTCTTCTACCTTAAGTACACACAGAGATGGGCATACCCTTGAAGTTGCTAGCACCCACATGTATGCCATGTACTGGTTCATAAATTCTGGTATTCCTTTATCTGATAAATGATCTGAATTTTATCTCATCCTTCACTGGCTATCCCCTATTCATTTAATGTTCTACCTCTCTCACCTCAAGACTTATCTCTTTCAGGAGGCCTTTCATGGTCTCCTTAGTTCCTAATTCCTCCCTCTTTCAAATTACTTATGATAGGTCTGTATATATCTTGTATGTACTGGTACTTAGATATTATCTGACCCATTTGCATGTATGGTCCTTGAGATTAAGGGCAATTTTTTTTGCCTGCTCTTGTATCCCCAGATCGTAACACAATGTCTGGCATATAATAAGCACTTACATGCTTATTGACTGACTCTCCAGCTTATTAATGTTCTTCTTAACAGTGGTACAGAAGGACTGTCACCTTATTCTTGGAAACTGCACCTCAGACTGAATTGGCATTTTAACTGCTTCATCACACTGCTGACTCATATTAAGCTTACAGTCCACATATATACCCCAGACCTTTTTCAGACCAATTCCTGTTGAATCATGATATCCCCATCTTCTGCTTCTGAAGTTAATTTTTTTAAGCCAAATGCAAAATGTTTTATATTTATTCCTACCGAGTTTCATCTTATTAGATACAATCCCAGTACTGACAAGTACTTGGGATTGTATTAGATACAATCCCAGTAAACTGACAAGATCTTTTTGGATTTTGAGTCCATCACCTAATATCTCTCCTGGCTTTATGTCATCTGCAAATTTGTTAATTATATTAAACAGCATAGGTTCAGGCATAGATCCATAAGGTATTCCACTGAAGACTTCCTAGCAAATTGACATTAAATTCTTTGACTTTGGTCATCCAACCAGTTCCAAATCGATCAAGTGATACTATTGTCTAGTCTACATTTCTTCATCTTCTCAAAAATTATATGAGATACTTAAGAGTTTTGCTTAGACCTAGGTACACTGTATCTACAGCATTCTCTGACTTGTTCTTGATGTTTAACCATTTTTTAAAAAAAAAAATTTTAGGTTTTTCCTAGGAATTTAAGTCTGGAAAGGGAAATGGCAAGCCTCTCCATTATCTTTGCCAAGAAGACCCCCAATGACATTACAAAAAGTCAGACATGACTGGAGTGACAACAAAAAGAAATTTAAGGAAACCTATGGTTTCTAGATTCTGTTCTTGTCTCCATTT